TTTGACTCTCCATGCAATTCAAAAATAAAACACAGCAGCTGTCTCTTATACACATCTAGATGTGTATAAGAGACAGGTGTGTGTGTGTGTGTGTGTGTGTGTGTGTGTGTGGCTAGAACCGCATTTTTCAAAAAATGAAGTTCAATTTGGGTAGAAAGTTCTGGGATGATTCCCAGCCAAGAGTTGTTTGTATTACACAATGCTGCACCACACGTTTTTCACAGATTGGTTTTGTTCGATTTTACCCTGTACGCACCACGTACATGGCCGCATACAAGGTCGAACAGATTCGTACTTGTACGCGTGTGCCCTTGGCCCTCGTACGGGTACTGGTTGCAACACTCTGCATAATAATGATAACGATAACTCTTCTCAACGGTGGTTGCAATATAATCAGTTATAGGCTTATAGGTTTATAGCATTTGCTTCCATCAGGCAGTCATGTTCTTTTATCTTGGATGGATGACACTGAGTGGCAGAAGGCAAGATTTTCTGGCCGCGTACCTGACTTTTCGCTAACATAATTCCTGCATGACAAAATAGTACACATCACACACACACACACACACAAACACACACGCACACACACACACACACACATGCACACACATGCACACACACATGCACAACAAGACACATCCCACACACACACACACACACACACACATGCACACACATTGAACACTACAGATCAGCAGAGTGGATGGCCATATTCATCAACAGGCATGGGCTGCTTTTGAAGAGCTATAACACAGGGCAAGAGTCTTACAAAGGGAGCTCAAATCCACAACAGAGAAGGACAGAGACAGAGAGAGAACGGAACGGATAAAGGCACCATCGTCCATCCCACGCACCATCACGACTACTCCCCTCTTATCTCCTCCATCTCCTCTTCCGCCCTCTCTCTCCTCCCTCTTCTCTTTTGCGGGCTTTTTGTGTTCGAAGGGACGTGCGTGCTTACATTGATTTTTGCATCGCTTTTTTCTTGAAAAAAGAGGCAGTCAGCTTGAGTTGTTTTCTTATTTCCTTTTAATTCACACAGAAGAAAAAAAAAAAACAATCATCGAGGCCAATGCCTTTAAAGCATGGGGGAGGGAGGGGAAGCGGGGGGCCTGAGCGGTCGGCTGCTGCAATACGTGGATCAATCAATCAATCAACGAGCCACGTTCATGCGCATCTGCCTCTGCGTCGCGAGCGTAGCCGCAACGGGTCTGCTGACTCCGCTTGTTAATTATTAATATTAATTAATTTAATTAATTTAATTTACTATTCAATTATTGCTGCTAGCCACGCTTTAAACCACCGCTACCTTTCTCAGGGAATGAATGCCTACAAATTGGTTTATCACCTAGGTTACCAGAATGGCCCGGGACCACAGGGCCCGGCAGGGCCAAAAATGAGCTAAAAACATGGATATTTTTATTTATTTTTAATTTGGCAAAGAATTTCGATGTGACCCTGTGGCAAAAGTTGTCCAGTTTATTTTTCTGCACAAAAGTTTTTTTTCGATTTTTTTGGAATTTTTTTTTTTCCAGGTTCCCTTGCCCAGCCAAGCCGGCCGGGCAACCAAGATGACCCTGCCGGCCCGGTTGGTAATGCAGTTTGTCACAGCATTCTTCCTTGGACCTCTTTGCCTTCCTGCGCCAGCCAAAAAGGAAGGGGAAAAAAAAAAAAAAAAAAAAAAAGGAGCGCCACACCAGATCGTTTTGAACTTAGCACCACCACAAATCGGCCTTGGGAAACAGTCAGAACCACCCCCCCCCACACACACACACACACGCACACACACAAAAAAGAAAAAAGAAAAAAAGAAAAAAAAAAACAGTGGCCCGGGATGTAGCAGCGGTTTAAGAAGGTCCATTGCTCACCGCGTGTCTGGTCCTTGGCCTCTTACAACACCCTGGGCTTTATAAAAAAAAAAAAAAAAAAAAAAAAGAAGGTCCTCATTGCTTGCCATCATGAGCTGCAGAAGGATGTAAGTGTAGGTCTGGCAATCACCCTCTCGTTTTCTTTTTTTCTTTTTTCTTTTTTCACCACCCTCTCTTTTTCTTTTTCTGGCAATCATTTTCTTTCCTCAAAAGTCAGACCCTCTCC